ATTATGGTTATATTTAGTTTCACAAACATAAAAACATAAAATTTAAAAGAAAATTTAATATTAAAAAAAAAAAAATTTTAATAATGATAAAATATCATATATCTAGCTCATTAGAACAATTATTTTGATCAAGCGATGTTTATTGTTAAATTTATTTTTAGTTTTTAATATCTCTTAAAAATAAGCACTATACAAAATTGTGATTGTATTTGAAAATAATATTATATAAATAATATATAATTTATAGATAATTTTCTGTAATTGAAAGATATTATAGTCAACTATATATATGAAATTTTTTATAATAATTGATTGATATAAATTATTTTATTACTCTTAAAAGTATATTTTATGTTTCTTAAAAATATTTTTAAATGTATTATTACTATTTTTTGAACTTTCCTTTTTATGAAATTATATTATAAATACCTATATTTTTATGTTATTTAAAAATATTTTTAAATGTATTATTACTATTTTGTCAACTTTCCTTTTTTATGAAATCATATTATATATACATATATTTTTCGTTTTAAAATTTTTTTTATGACTATAAAAATTTCCTTTTTATTACATATCTTTTTGGAAATTTTTGAAAAAGAAAAATAAAAGAATTAATGATACATTAAGGGTATCAAGGTAATCAACCATCGTGGTAATGAACGTGAGAGCGACACATAGGAAACTGATTTCTCAAATAATATTATAGAGATTGATTTGAATTAAGAAGAATAAATAATCACAAATTTATACATTTAAAATTAAAATTTAATAAGGTTTATGAATATGTGTAGAAATTTTAAAATTTATGAAACGTAGGTTTTGAAACATGGAGTATTTGTTTAAGACAAACTCTTACCACCCAATTCTTCAGACAAGATTTGCTGATTTTGTGACTCTCTGAAGCTCCTTCAAAGAGACCCATGGCTCTTTCTGACTCATCTTCAGTTAGAAAACGCATAAAATCTTCGATATATATGTACCTTAAAACCAAAAAAATCCCTCTGTTTTAGAACTTGAACTCAAGAAACATCAAACCAAAAGTTGTGTCACTAGGTCATAACATATATACCTGGAACAAGGCTCAGCGACATTCTGAAAGATCTTCCTTGCTGCAAGTTTAGCTTCAAACTCACTTCTTATCTGCGTGGCTTTGTCATCTTCGTGAGTGCTCGTGTCTATCTGTTCATCCAAAGTAGAAAGTGTTCCTTTCCTTATCACATTCATCAGTCTCTTCATCTTCCAAGCCGACACGTTTTTAGTATTCATCCTCTGCAAATGATCGATCCTTATCCCTTCGTCCTCTCCTTCTTTCTTGGAACCACTCCGCGACAGCGCCGGGCTTTTACCGATTCTTGTCGGACTCTTCTGCAGCCTTCCACTTCCAATGGTCACTTGTGGTGAAGAAGAAGAAACCGTCTTAGGACCAGGAGGAGATTGCTTAGCACCAGCTACTTTCTCTTCTTCTATATGTACCATAACACGAGGAGGTCCAGAGAGAGTCTCAATCACGTATTGAGTAAACAAAGACTCTTGAATCCTATCGAAGTAAGTACTCATATGGAAAGACGAAGCTAGAACTTTAACTAGTAATGTCTTTATGAGCCAGATGATAACACCAACTAGTAAGCAGACCAAAACTTTAGTCACATACTTAAGCACCGTGGTATTTGCCTCTCTTTCGACTTTCTTGTCGAACAAGAAATGCCACGCGATCAACACAAGCCCTAGCCAGAGACAGTTCTGTACCGGCTTTTTGATCCCATAGACGAAATACAAAACCCTCTTCCTCAACATGAAGTTTCTTTCGACGAAGAAGACGAATATCTTCACTATCCAGCTAGACACTAACCTCCCACATATCAAGACAAGAACCATCACTTCCCACTTCCACAAAGCTAGGTTCCACAGTTTCTTGCCTCGCAAGAAAGGTATCACCAGGCTACAAATCAAACCGGCTATGATCAGAATCAGAAAAATCCACTCCATGACAATCCCAAGACACAGTTTATCCTTCTTGTAACCTTCTGGAAAGTCTTCCTCAGAGAACGGATCTTCCTCTTCCTCCAAATCCATACCTTGAACCGGAGTTCCCGGTTTAGTACTTTTCCCGGTATACCCGGGTTTCAAATGCCCGGACTTTGGAGTCCGACCCGAAACCATTTCCGGGTACGACGGGGTCGGAGGATCCATGAGTCTAGATCTAGTCTTCATCTTCATCAGAGTCTTGGTCCTTAATGACCTATTCGAGCTACACTTCACAACCTCTGACTCATCTACTCTGTTCTCATCTTCTTCGCTACTATCACTTTCCTTAACAGACGGAGATAACGTCACTCTGTTATGTCTCCGTCTAACGGCGTCAACCGTTTCGTTACGGTAACCCCCTGGTGAAGCGGAACCGGTAACCGGTGACGGTGAGACCGTGTTGCTTTGAAGCTCAGGCATGTTTGGTTCCATGTCGAGAGAGATTTCGTCTCCGGCAGCTTTTTGTTTGTCGAGAAACTGGTTTATGAGCTTTGACGGTGGATCTGGCTCCTTCGACTTGTCGTTTCTCCGGTGCATGAAGTCAAAACTTCCGTCGTCTTCGCCGCCGGGTTTACCGTTCTTGTCTTTCGGATCACCGTGCCAGAAGTTGTAACTTGATTCTCTCCAGAACTTCCCTCCTTCGCCATTGTTGCTTGACTCATTGTCTTCACCGTCGATCTTGACGACGAAGTCACGCCGTGTATCATTTGAATCAGCAGCCATGGTTGGCACTTTCTAGTAAAGAAGGAAAAGTTTGGGGGGGGGGTCTTTCTGAGTTCAAGAAAAAGTCTGGGGTCTTTTCTGAGATGAAAGAAAAGTTTTTGTTTTTCTTGAGAAAGATGAAGAAGAAAGGTTGATTCTTGATTTCAGCATGTAAAGGGTCATCGATGTTTAAATCCCTTTTTAGTTAGGTTTTTGATAATCTTGGACCATGTGAAATGCTATGATCTTGCTGGGGCTAAAAGACAAGATAAAGAAATTAATATTAGTATTTTTTGTAATTTTGTAACAAAACATGGAGTAATTAATGGACCAGGTGATAGTTATTATCATTTCGTTTTTCTTTTTTCCGCATCTAAATCATTTTAAAACATTTCTCTAATACCAACTATTTTTCTTATTCAGTACATAGACTCGTGTCTTGCTCTAGCTAACCATAGTGTAAGAAAATACAGTATTATAAGTCAAAAGTTTCACACAAAGCTCAAGAAAAGTGGAGGCCATGTTCGACTGGTCAGGAACGAAGCAGTTGAAAATGTAATAAAAATTGTTGTACCAGTAATAATAAATCTCTCTGTTTTTTGTGACGTGGTGAGATCTAACGGGGCAGATGTTGATACAGACAATGAGTCAGACACGTGGTTGGCTAAGGTTTGGTCTGCTTAATAGTTTTATGTATTTTTGTGAGGCGTATACGAATAGAGGAAGGGAACCTAACGCGAAACAAAATAGTAAACGACAGGACAATGACACGTTGTTGATGAAAACGGCACGGCGATTAGGTTACAAACTACAAAGTTGAGCTAGCTTACGTGAACCGACATGGTTCAAGCAGATTGGTCAGAGAAGAATTTGTTTTTATCATCTTATAATTGTCTGATAATATTAAAAATTCAACATAATTACTACTGGCCAGAAAAGGAATATCAAGCAGCTAGTATTCATATCGATATCAATATATCGATATAAGTATTATTCCATCTTCTAAATTATAATTGTCTAATATATTAAAAAATTATAACATAATTACTACTGGTCAGAAAAGGAATATCAAGCTGGTAATATTATCAATATCAATATTATTCCATCTTCTGAATTATAATTGTCTAATATATTAAAAAAAATATTTCATAATTCATAACTGGACAGAAAAAGAATATCAAACAGCTAGTAAGTAGAATCAAATATGATTTCATCTTTTGAATTATAAATGCATGATCAGAAGAAAACAGTTTGATACATGTGAATTGTGAAGAAAACAAAAAAAGAAAGCTGTTTGATGCATGTGATAAGCCCGCAGGACACACGTTTGCATGCTACACACTTCATTTAGGTGGTAGAAAGTTTTGATTGCTATAAAATTAAAATTTGTTATAAATCAATCGAACCGAAATGGTTTTATAATGATTGATTTTGGTTTTGTAATATTTGACCGGGTCTTTATAAGAAATACGTATGAAGAAGCGTGGGTTAAGCGTCTAATGGGCTTTTATCAGACAGGCCCAATAGTTTAGTCATCTTCTTCGTTTTCCTCCCACATCGCTTAGCTAAAGAGAAGAATCTGCGTTTATATAGCGAAGAAGTCACGAAGGTGATTGTCCCTTCGGGGACATCCGATAAAATTGGAACGATACAGAGAAGATTAGCATGGCCCCTGCGCAAGGATGACACGCACAAATCGAGAAATGGTCCAAATTTTTTTTGTTCTTTTTTTTTTTTTGGTTTCTAAATCAATCCCTTCTTCTTCTTCTGTCTTCAAGGTTTCGTTTTCGCAATTCGCAGTTCAAGTTTTGGATGAATATCAACAGCTCCCCAAATTAATCGTAATTCGAATTCGAAAATACTCAGTTCTTAATTTTTGAAACCCTAGTTTTAGTGAACGTTAATCGAATGTCGAGTTCGCCTTGTATTTAAAATTTTAAAAAGGTTTTAGTTTCTGCAGTTTGTGTTAATTTAGACGGCGAAATTTACGGTGTTCATAGTTGCAACACCGATGATCGGAAACCTAATCCCCAAATTTTCGTTTGACAACAATTGAAGTTTGTTAACCAGTTTCCCGGTTCAAATCTAAAAAATTAAACCGGAACTTCCCAATTTGATAATTCTGGTTTAGGAGAAACCGCTTCCTCTCTTCTTTCTTCTACTCTCACTAAACCCTTGGCGTCTCCATCTTTAGAGATGCTTCAATGGCTTTCTTATTGATACGATCTTAGTGAATCTGCCAAATTTCCATCTCTTTTGTTTTGATTCCAATGGCGATTCTGCTCAAGTCATTTCTCAAAAACCAATCCTTTCTCAAGCCTTCGATGGTTTGCAGAACCCTAGCTTCTTCTTCATCGGAACCTTACAAGAAGCCACTCTCTGTTTTGTTCGAAGAGGCCGTAGGATTGAGACCCAAATCCGAAACCGAAGAAGAAGAAGAGGGTAACGAGTTGAAGAGAAAGCTTTTCGAATTAGAGAAGAAACTCATAGAGCTAAAGAAGACAGAACCAGTAAGAAAGAAGAAGAAGAAGGTTGTTGAGACAGTGCCAGAGCTGCAAACTGAGAAAAGTCGTAACCTTTACACCTTGTTTAAAGTCAACGAAGAAAAGAGACAAGAGGAGGAGGATGTGATTAGGGTTTATAAAGAGCTGCCTTTGGAGATGGTTTCGTTTGTGAAGCTTCTGCATAAAAGAGGGTATTTGAACAAGGCTAATTTCATCAGTGGAGGGAAGCTGGAGTTGGGGAGTCTTGATGAAGAGTATGCTAGGACTTTTTTAAAGTTTGCTGCTGAGAGATTTGGAAAGGATTACCAAGAGATTGCAAAGTAAGAATCTTTGCTTCTATATATCTCATCATCATATGTTGTCTGTGGGCATGTTCATTTCTATAAAGTGCCACACTTGTTAGAGTTTGAGTTACATTATATGTTACACATGCTTAGGGGAAATGAAGTTGGTTAAGGGTGTTAGTTCTACTGGAATGATGAATATTTTGTGATGAATTTAGTTCTTGTGGCTGGATCATAGACTAGTTGATGTTTAGATAGAGTAACTCTGATGTAAGAAGTGGCCAAGGCTTTCCTACTTTGATCATATGTTGTGTGTTTGTTTTCTTTTAGAGTTAAAAAGTTTGGATAGGTGTGATGCTCGTTAGGTTTGGTTTAGAGAAAATGTTTGTTGAAAGTGTTTATCTTGATGGGTAACTATGGCATGTTCAGGTCTAATCTTGTTAGTGAACATATTCCTTTCTATAAAGTGCCACACTTGCTAGAGTTTGTGTTGCATTATATGAAAGCTGGGGTTAGTAAAGGTGTTAGTTCTATTGGAATGATAAATTTAGTTCTTGGGGTTGGATCATAGACTAGTTTTAGCATTGATAGAGAAACTTTGATGTAAGAAGTGGCTAAGATGGAATTATTTATCCTATCCTGCAGCATTCTATTCCCATATTAGCTGTTGTTTCAGCAGCTAAGTACTTTGAAACTGATCCTATGATCTTATTTACCTCCACGGCTATTCATAACCTCAAGATTCAACTTATAGGTGGTTATCAGGTAGTGACCTGAAGAACATTGTGCTATTTGGGTGCCCAAGTTTGGAAAAAAGGGCAATATTCGCTGCTAAAACACTGCGCAAGTTTTTCGACATCCATGAGAACAATGTAACTGTAGCTTTACACTCTATACTGTCTTGATTTCATTCAACATTCTCTTCAGCTGAATCTAATCAAGTCTTATTGCATAATAGGTGTGTGAGAAATGCGTTTTAAAAGAGAAGTGCAAGTTTCCAAACCAGAGTGTATGGGATGGCAAGTCAAAGAACTTACATTTGTCTGTTGTGATGAAAGTCATCACACTATATCCGTTGGACTTGACTCATCCAAAGCTTCAAGTTCCTCAAGAGGTACAAGACTCAGTCTCAAGGTTGCTGACAGAGATTCAGAACCTAAGCCGAACTATCTGTACTCCTCTCTCATGAGTTAAGCATTATATCGATGATTGTTTCCAGTAGATAGATATCAACTTAGTGTTCTTGCAACACCTGCAACTCTGATATTATAAAACCGGATAGGTTTTAATCTTTACTGCAATGTTATTCCGTAATTGATGATTATATTTGTTGTTTGAGAACTCTTCCTTTGGTTTGTAGTTCATGTTAACAATCTCTAAGCAGACAACACCAAAGCTGTAGCCATCTGCTTTGTCTGTTAACTAACCTCTCATTGCATACTCTGAATCAATCTTAAGAAGATGGTGGATATGAAGAAGCTTCAGTCCATAGAGAAACAATGAGCATGAGTATGATCATAACTGATCAAACTAACTCTCTTAAAGCAATTGTTTAAATAACATGTCAAGATGAAACCCAAAAGGTTGTCTTTAGAATTTCAGTAACAATCTGAGTTCTTAAGTTACAAGCCAGAGAGAGAAAAATGTGAATCAAAGTGTTGAATAGACAAAAGCAGAGGATCCTAATGTAACTAGTTACAACATTTACATTTTTTTTTGCTTCTCCCTTCTGTTTCGTCTATTTGAAAGCTTCTTGTTCTCAGTCAATTTTCTTCCACCAAGTTGGTAAGCTCGCTTAGAACATACTTAGCACCTGGGGAGAAAAGAATAGTACTAGTTAGGAGTCTGTAACCAATAGGAACACGAAGAAAAATATGTGAACTTTTGACCTCTCTCGTCATAACAGATATATCAGCTTCAGCAGCAGCACGAAGTGCGTCCCATATCTCTGCGGTTACCAAGTGTAACATACAGACACGTGGATGTGAAGATCAGAAGAAAACAGCCAAACATGAAGACTTTTCTGATGTCTCTAATTCCTTGACTAAAAAGGCGAAAGTAATCATGTCATTTTACACTATGCGAAGAAGAAAAACAAAAGGGGTCCTTAGCTCAGTGGTAGAGCAATTGACTGCAGATCAATAGGTCACCGGTTCGAATCCGGTAGGGCCCTCAACTCTTTTTTAATCTCCTATCTCACATCCCTTTTTACAAAACTCTCCAACTAAATCAGTATTACATAACCATGCAAGGCATCCCTAAACAACAAAAAGGGTTTTAGCTCACTGGCAGATCATAGGTCACCTGTTCGAACCTTGACAAGTACTGCACCTATCTACAAATCCTTCATTCTTTTCTATAACATGACACCACTGAAAAATCGAAACAAGGTTGCCAGAGAAACAAGTCCTTCCAAAACTCTTCTCTCAGTTCATAAGCTCAGCTTTAGTGATCGGTTGAGTATGATTCCACGGTTTTGGTTTTCCTAATTTTCTTCACTGTTCCTGTAAACAAACAACTAATCATCCATATGATGCCATATAAAACTAAAGAAAATCTCCATTTCCAGAATTAATCTGCACCGCCAAACAAATGCATTGGTCATACTGAGGGTGAATACTATTAAGTCAAAGCTTCCAGATGAAGCAAGAGTCTTCTCCAACCAACAATGTTATGTCTTAAAGGATCTCTTGCATGTCTCCGGTTATTCAAGCAAATATATGCAGATAGACATGAGTACAAAACATACATCTAAACACATGCTTTGTCTGGTCCAACTGAAATAAATCAATTCAAGGATCAATAGTGATTCATTCAATTGCTAACCGGAGCTGAAGTCAACCCTATCAGATTAGAAAAACCCTAATTTTTCAACACACAGACTATACAAGAATCTACTTTTTTTGGGTTGTAGGATCCGAACATTTCAACCTATCCATTTATAAATCTAGGGCTTCTCTGATCTAAAAATAGAAAGTCCGCAACTTTATATTCTTTCACTAAACAGAAAGATGAGGTATCTTTTAGACCAATCCAGCAAACTGAGAAGGATGCGAGAGATAATTAGAACTTCTCACACATATTTAGGAGACTAACAAAATATTTATTCTAACCTTTTGTATTTAGTTACTTTACTATCTATCTATACTATTATTTGAGAATTAAATTTGCTTAGTTGTCATGTTCTCCATAAGTTTAGGTAATTTTTTTTTTATCATATTTTTAATATTTATATATAATTTATTTATAAATAAAACGAATTTATATGAATATATCATATTTTAGAAAATAAGATAATTATGTTAAAAAAAAAGATAATTCTTGTGAATTATGTTGTTATCTTGAAATATATTTTATATATAAAATTTAAATTTTAAAATTAAGATATATCTATATTATTATTTAAGAAGTAAATTTGCTTAGTTGTCATGTTCTCCATAAGTTTAGGTAATTTTTTTTTTATCATATTTTTAATATTTATATATAATTTATTTATAAATAAAACGAATTTATATGAATATATCATATTTTATAAAATAAGATAATTCTTGTGAATTATGTTGTTATCGTGAAAATAAATTTTTATATATAAAATTTAAAATTAACATGTAAAAAATCTATACTATTTTTTAAGAATTTAATTTAATATTTGTTGATTTGTCATATTTTCCATGATTTTAGGTAACTTTAATAATTTATATATTAGTGCGGGTAAATTTACTTCTTAAATAATAGTATAGATATATTATTAGATAATTCTACATAATTCTCAATAAAACATCACTATTTGATATCGATTAATAAATTTACTATTAGATTAAATTAAAAAAAAAACATTAAATTTTATATAATTTATGAATCTTTTATTTTTAAAATTTTAACTTTTATTTATTGAAACTTTAATATTTTTAATTTTAAAACGCATTGTTATTTTCAACCACTTTTTATTATATTATTTTATATATATATATATATATATATCTAATTATATAAACAAATATATATAATTGTTAATATAAGATGATGTTATTAAACCAAATTCTTATAATTACCAAATCCTAAAAAATCTAAAAGTACATCAAAAACAGAAGAATGTTAAACAAACTCAACTTTACATATTATATTAATCACAATAAATAAAACTATTGATATATGTGAAAATCAAATTAAAATAACATAAAATGTGTACTAACAACCAAACTATATATTTAAATTATGTATCAAAATAACTAAATAATGTTAGAAAAACCGGCGCTACTAACATGCACATTATTAGAATTTAATTTCTTTTGCAATCCACATAAAATAAATTACGCTAACAAGATAATCAAATTAATATATTTTCATGTTTTTAATAAATAGTTTATTTTCTAAGATATCATGGATTTATTTTTTAATTTGTAAATTAACATAAATTTTGTATTTAACGACCAAACCATATATTTAAATTATGTATCAAAATAACTAAATAATGTTAAAAATGAAAATTATACAAAATAACATAATAATGTTAATAATGTTAACTTATTATATATTTAAAACAAATTTATATTAGTAGTATCAGATTTTAGAAAAGAAGATAATTCGTATATATATTAAGTTGTTGTCTTTAAACTATATTTTCTATTAGAAATTTAAAATTAAGATATAAAAACTTGTAGTTATTCGATAATTGAAACAAATTTACACAAATAATAGTATAGTTTTATAAAATATGGTAATTCTTATGTATTATATTATTATCTTAAAAATATATTTTTATATTATATAATTTTAAAGTAAAATATAAAAAATTATCTATTATTAATTAAATATAAATCATCACTCAAGAAAAATTATGTAAAAAGTGAATTTGCTGATTCATTAAGTTCTCCATGATTTTAGTTCATATAGTAGTATAAAAATTATGGTTATTTGTTTGATACGCATACCAAAATTCTCTTATTAGTCTGACCAAATAAACTAAAAATTCCTAGATAGATAGTTGCGTAAAAGAATGCTTAAACCAAAATCTTGATTTGATATAACTACCTAAATTCAATTAACACAGTAATTGCAGGGATTACCAACTTCTGGTGCTCCTCTTTTGTACTCCCCAAAGCTTGTATCGTAAAAATTAACTCGATGTGTAGCACTTTTCTGTGGAGAGGGGACCCTGGGGCACGAAATTCGGCAAGAGTAGCTTGGTCAACAGTGGTGAAAACGAAGGAACAGGGAGGTCTGGGAGTAAAAGATCTTCAAACTTGGAATAAAGCCTGCTGTATGCGATTAATATGGCTCCTATTCTTTCGTCCTGATTCCGTTTGGGTCTGTTGGTTCAAAGAAGTTATACTCAAAGGTTCATTAAGCAACTTTTGGATCACTAAACCCTCACAAAACTTCTCTTGGCTAGCAAATAAATTGTTGAAGTTAAGGAGTGTTGCATACCCCTTGATACATCTTCGAATTGGGAATGAAGAAAATACCAGATTCTGGACAGACAACTGGAGCCCCTATGGAAGTTTGGATCTTTACTTGGAAGGAGGAACCTCTCGGTTAGGTATTCCTAAAGAAGCAACTCTGGCTTCTCTTTATCGGAATGGAGTGTGGCGTCTTCCTGCAGCTAGAACCGAGCATCAACTTCAGGTCCTTTCTTTTATAACAACTGTTAATTTTACAGATGAACTGGATCACTATAGTTGGGAGATAGACGGATCAATCACTGACAAATTCAAGACGGGTCAAGTGTATCATTACCTCAGAGGGTTAATTGATAATGTCCAATGGGTGTCTGCTGTGTGGACCTCGAGAAACATCCCGCGCCATAGCTTCCATGTCTGGCTAGTAGTTCAAAATCGACTCCCAACTAGAGATCGTCTGATTCATTGGGGGCTGCAAACCCCTTCTCTCTGTCTGCTCTGTAACACACACGACGAATCTCGTGATCATCTATATTGGGACTGTGACTTTTCCTTCTCACTTTGGACTCTCGTGGCTCAAAGATGCAGACTTCAACCGCATTGTCGGTGGGAGGATTCCCTCGATCATATGATAGCGCTTCGCCTTCCAAAAGCATCTCGATCTCTGATTCTACTTGGTTGGCAGGCTACGATTTACTGGATTTGGCACGAGAGAAATCAGCGATTGCATGCAAACCAGTTTCGATCAGTTGATTCCCTTTTCAAGCTTATTGATCACCAATTGAGGAAC